CTATCTTTGTATTTATTTGTATCTTTCTAAATGTCTGTCTATAGATAAACAAAATCTTTCTTTAAGAAGGCTCTGAATTTTGAATTGGATCACAATAAATCAGAAGTGAGCGAGATCTTTTCAGGATCGACTTAGGGGAAAGGGGATTTTTTCCAAAGGAATTTTATAGGAGAATTGGTCATGTGGTTGAGTCTGTTTTTCCCAGAAAGGGCCTGGAGAAATAAAGTTCTAGCAACTCAAGTCTCTCCAGAATGATCCTCAGCTTTAGTTACCTGAAAAGGATCTGATTTTAGGACTGTGATTTCAAAGTGCAAAAGAGGGGATTTGCTTCCAGATACTTCCATTCCTATTACTAATTCCACCCTTTCATGTCACATTAAGAAACAAATTGCAGGGCACCTGGGTGGTTCAGTGGTTGAGCGTCTGCCTTTGGCTCAGGTTGTGATCCCAGGATCCTGGGATCTAGTCCTGCATCAGGCTCCCCTCTGCCTATGTCTGCCTCTCTCTCTATGTATCTCTCATGAATAAATAAATAAAATTGAAAGAAAGAAAGAAAGAAAGAAAGAAAGAAAGAAAGAAAAGAAAGAAAGAAAGGAGAAAGAAAAAGAAAGAAAGAAGAAAGAAAGAAAGAAAGAAAGAAAGAAAGAAAGAAAGAAAGAAAGAAAGAAAGAAAGAAAGATTGCAAATGCCAACACCCCTATTGGTTGTTGACTTATTTGGCTTCAAACATTCAGTTTAACTTAGTATTTCTGAATTTATGGAGGAGTATGATGTGCCCATCACTGTACTGGCTACCATGCAATCAGAATAAGTAAGACATCCCCTTGGCCTAGGTTCTCTAAAAGCAAAGCTCAGGGCTTCAGGTCTTCACTGCATCATGTCTCATGCCTTCCAGAATATCTGGCTACTCTACTACATTATGAGGCATCCATTCTATTTATGTTTTTTCTTTCTTGAGAAAATAAAGACATCTTTTCTTCTTCCCAAAAAGGATAATTATAAGTCAAATCAGATATAGAAACTCTTTCAATATGTTACTTAGCTAGTTTTCACATCCTGGAAGCCTAAGGTGACAAGACACTAAAAAAAGCTCTTGTCTGCAGGTTATCTATAGGGATAAATCGATCTAGGAATCAAAATGTGGTTTAAGAAAGTGTCTAGAATCCAGTGACTGATGCTGTGTGAACACTGTGGCAATGAAATAACACTGAAACACAATGAAGCTCGCATTGTTCGTTATTCATGTAAAATGGGGATACATGACCAATTGGTCATGTGGCAGGGTTCACATTGATCATGAAATAAAAGTCTTTGAATACTTAAAATCATAACAGATATCTAAGAGACTTACATGGTTACTAAATCAGCTGTGCTGGATTTTCCTCTCACTGGCTCTCAGCTGTATCAGCATCTGAGAAAAACCTCTGACTTGTTCTGTGAGAGCATTGCTTGAGATAAGAGGGATTAATGTGAGGTTATTGCTTATGTTCAGAAATTTCCATACTATGAAGGCCATACCACTTCAACTCCACAGGTGACTTACTCTTCTGAATGATGAAGTCATTTGTGCCATCACTGTTCTGGATGAAAGCAGTGTCCTCAAATGTGAAACTGGCTTTAAGATGTCAAGCTATTCAATAGGCCACAGGCAGGAAAATGGGAAAACACGAGGTAGTTAAGTGTTCTGGAAAGTATCCCTTTCCTAAGGAATTAGCCTCTGCCATGTGGAAAATGACCAGGACTTACGAGGTAGCAATAGATTTAGACAGAAGATGATATGCGAGTGATTAAAGTCAATGCAGTTATGTTTGTAGCACTCTTTGGCTTATCTTGACTATGGTTATCTTCTCTTCCAATGCTTTCCTAACAAAAATAAGGAAGTTCAGTTACAAAAATTGGTCCACGAAGATAGAAGTTAAGCTATATAGTAGGATAGACAAGTTATAGAGATACAAACATCCTTCCTGCTTCTTTCCACTAAGGACAAGCTGATTTCTTCAATATGGGGTAAAATTTACTCTAATAAGGGGTAAGTAGCTCTCAATATGGTATCTAGAAGATAGTAGGAATCAGAAGCCCAATGCAAGTTCTTTCTTTTCCCTTCTGAATAGAAAGACAACCCTCACAGCACCAACACTAGCTTTTTACAAAAATTTATCTCACAAAGGCAATGGAGATATTTATTTTGGGCCCTAGCCATTGACTAAAACATAATTACCTCATCAGATAAACCATTGTAAACTTGCCAGGAAGTCATATAAAGGATAGCAGTCAAAGAATAATGAAAGATGAGTCTTGTGTTTTCCTCTACGTATAGCAGAGTTGGAAAGATAGCTATTGATGGAGGTCCAGAGGTTGGGAAGTTCTGGTCAGGGCAGCCTGATGTAAAATTGTGAAATCATTATTCCACTTTATATGCCTGTTATATTTTTGAAATCCATGGAATACTCATGCAATCTCATGCAAATTTCAGCACAACCTGAGATTACTCCCATTTTTTGGATAAATGAACTCAGGATGGACAACTGACTTACCAAGGTCATATAAACTCTTACAGATAGAACCAGAACAAGAGCCTAAGCCTTCTGATTCTTTCTATGACTTTCAAATATGTAACAACTACTTCTATAATAGTAGCTAGGTGAAGGATAAGAGATGAGACAAAAATCTGGGTAGTAACTTAGTACATACTTGCCCCTAATATACCTTTGAAGTCTCGCAAGGGGCACGCACCCCAAGCACTCTTTCCTCAGTAAGTAGACATATGTAAAAAGAATAACAGAGCACAAAGGACCTACGATAGAAGTTCAACACTGACATCACACGTAGTAGGAAACCTCATCACCTACAGTGTTTAGAGACACCAGTTCATCACACTGCCCTCTGGTCCTATTCCCCCATTCATAAGGCAAGGAGTGAGAGAGTTGGGATATTGGGTTGCTTTCAGATTCCCTTTTCAATGTAGAGTGAACACTCTACAAGTTTGTACTGGATGAGCTGTGAGGGATTAGGGTAGTGAAGTGAGAAAGGGATTATGTCCATGTTCTGTCTAAGCAAGTTCAGTTGTCTGCCTTCTATTGGATCTCTGCTCAAATCCAAGCTGTGCTGATGTGTTGACATCTTGGATGCCCATGAAGCTTTTCCTAACACCTAGATGAGGCTATTGTAAGCATAGCAGAGGAATAAGAATCTGTTTGTGAATTAGGTTTGATCCAGTGCTTGATCATAGCAGTATTTCATGGAAAGACCTCAATGTCATGCAGAAGAAGTGTGAAGGGCCCTTGGCTATGGTTCTGCAGGTTATCTATAGGGATAAATCGATCTAGGAATCAAGATGTGGTTTAAGAAAGTGTCTAGAATCCAGTGACAGGTGCTGTGTGAACACTGTGGCAATGAAATAACACTGAAACCCAACAGCAAGGAATGCAAATGTTTTGTGAGTGGTTGGAGTAGATAATATCCCGCTGGTAGGAAAAAAAAAAAACATTTGGTAGATCTAGCACCCACAGAGACTCAGAATACAATGTGCTGTTGACCAGATTATTCCAAAAACAGATCTTAGCTCTGGCAGGGACTAAGCCAATGATATCTTGTTCCTCCTATTCAGGTTTCTCACCTGTTTCTGGGAAGTGAGTTCACTAAGTATACCTACCTTGTTGAGTTGGGGTTAATTAATTTCCATTTTTATTTTGATTTAATTGTAAAGAAAATCATACCTGGAACTTAGTGTTAGAAATATATAAAGTAATAGCTATAAAAAGCCACCAACTAGTTTTTCAGATAAGGAATTAGGGTTCATAGGTGTCAAAGACTATTCCCAAGGTCTAGGCCATTAGTGACTGATCTAATGTGGTAAAAGTTGTATGTGCAGAGTATTTATTGTGTAGTACACACTGCAAAGCACTTCACACAATGTTCTCTTAAAATTTCATCACAATCCATTTACTTCTACAAATAAAGAATATGAGAATTTGAGAAGTGAAGTAATTTGCCTAAATTATAATAAGTTACAGCAATGAATCTCAACCCCAAGACATGATATGAGAGCCAGCCATGTTTGGCTCAGCCTATGGTCTAGGTTAAAATTCCAGAGCACTTAATTTGCTGACTACTACAAGGTAGCAGAGCTGGAGAGCTGTGGTCCTATAAACCACTGGTCATGGAGTGATATGCAATGTAGCCCACCTCTTTGTATTATTCTTATATTTTCTTTTTCTCTCATACATCCCTGGCTCTTTTTTCCACCTTGCAATCATCTTCAAGCCAGCTGGTCTGGATAATTAAGTTAAAAAACCAAAAAAGGCATATTCCAGGTATTGTAATTATATATTTTCAAACTGCTTCAATACCTTCCTTATCTTCATTTCATTTGGAACTCTTCTATTTTTTTATATCACCTAAAATTATTAAGCATCATAAAATATCTTCCATTTTAGAACCCTTCATTATGCTTGCTTCTGGATCTTTCTCTGAAAGCATAGACTATTTTGCATAACTCCTCCTCTAAATAAACCTTCCATTCCTTTTCCTTTGCTCTGATTTAGTTTGTTACCTAAGCCTGGATTCTAGGACTCTTCATTACAGATACTCATCTTCCTTCTCATCCTGACCTCTTAGTGCCCTATGAATGGAGCATAAAGCCAAGCTCTCTGAACTTTACTTTTTAGGGTCGTATACCCCAGATGTCTGAACCTTTGATTATTCTATTTTCTCTCAGTATAGTAATAAACATTTCTTTCCCTACCCCTTTCTCCACCTCTCCCAGTGAAAGTCCCTTGTATCTGTCAAACCACATCACAAAAAACATCTCCCACATGCAGCTTTTCCTGTCTCATCTTCCCAAAAACAGGATTTGCCTTCTTCCTTCTACGAATTCCCATAGCATTTTTTTTCTTGGTTAATTACCATAAGCCAGGTTCCCCAGAAGCAGACTCTTAGAGATTTGCATGAAGGAATTTTTTCTTTTATAATTAAGATTTAATTGGTTGGAAAATGTGGGATGAAATCTCATGCCATTTGTGAAATCTCATGCCATTCTCTTGCAGTAGCCATACTAATCTTCTCTGTATAGTTCCAATTTTAGTATATGTACTGCCCAAGGGAGTACTCTGTGGAGTCATTTTATTGGGGAAACAAGATTGTGCAAGCAGTTGGGCTACAGAACTGCCTCTACCAAGGCCACAGCCAATCCCTTGGGGGAGCTCAGGAGCTGTGAACAAGGGAGTCAGCGCCTTTGCCTCTCTGTCCACTGCCCTTGGCTGTGAGGATCTTGGGCAAGGAGCACCTAAGGAGTATTTAGCTATGAACTGTCAGCTGTCAGTACTCCTGGGGGAATGAATACTTGCATCTGAAAAGGACTGAAGACAGGAGTAGAAATGTGAGGGATACACCTCAGTAGCCACTGCGTCACGCTAGAAGGACTCTAGCATACTCTGCTTTGTAGGTCGTATCTTTGTCTTCTGGAAACTAGAAATAAGTATTTCCTAAATATTTTCTGAATTTCTTGTAGCTGTTAGTACAGTGTATAAGGGATGCTAGGTAAATAATTTGCTGAGATCATTTATCTTGTGTTCTTTCACAGAACTTTCACTTTAAAGATATATTAATGAGGTATGTCAGACACATACTATCTCTATTTTATAGAAAAGAAAAGTAAGGCATATACTGATAATGGGAATTGGTCAATAGCACAATTTGTTTAAATGTTTTCAATGAGAAAACCTGGTGTCAGGACTCTCAAGCCAATTGCCTTGCAAAAAAAAAAAAAAAAAAAAAAAAAGAAAAGAAAGAAAAGCATTCAATTAACCAAATACAAATAGTAGCTCAAAAAAGGGCTACAGTTGGGTCAAGAGTTAATAACCTTGCTCCCTAAACCCCTTCTCAAAAATTCTTGCTTCTGGGCCTCCCTGAGGTGCCTCAACTTGATAAGCTATTAGACTTCCTTTTGGCACATATTCACGTACAAAGAGCCAAAGCTTTCAACTGAGATTTAAAACAACTTTGGCTCCTTGCCCAGGGTTCATACTGTGGAAAGAGCAGAGAGCATCCTCCAAGAATCTTTAAAACAATCACTATGGGGAAGATGACCTGAAATATAATCCCTGAAATCATTTTTCAGGAGACTTGCCACAGTCATAAAAACAGGTGAAGTCATAAGCAGCCTTTTTAAAAGATAGCAATGTCCCCTTCTCTCTCCCATCCTTGTCCCTTGCGCCACCTCCCATAACTACTCTATTATCCTCACCCACCCCAAATCACAGCTTTAGCAGAGAAAATCATCTATGATGTAGCCTATTTCTAGGGAAAATAGAACCTCAGCCATGTGCATGAATCTGTTTATGTTACACAGATGTGGGCTGGTGCTTAGCAGGATTTCTTGTTTATCGCCACTCCTGTTTACTCCAGGAGATTGGGGCAAGAGTAGGCCTGCTTCTATTACCTGCAAAATCAAGTTCTGGGCATCATCACCTTGACTAGTTACCTCCTTTTCTCTGGGTTCTTGACATATAGAAAGAGACATGTGCATAGAGATGACATATAAGTATTTGTGCCCTGGCTATATATACTGAGTTGTTCAAACTGTGCTAGTCTTCAATTCATTGTCAAATCAATTGTCCTTAAATATGGCTTTTTTTTTTTTGTCTTGCCCAAGGGCCAGCAAACACCCTTGATCACAACACCAAATCCTTAGCCTAAATCTGCTGACCCTCCACGAAGTAATTTCAAGCTCCTTTTTAAGTTCTATTGCCCACTTCTCCTTGGCACAAGTTCTACATTTCAGCAAAATCCTCCTATCTACTCTTCTATTAAAAGCATTTCCCAAGATTGCCAGGAAAGGTGCCCTCAAACACTCTGGCTACTGACAGGTACTTTATGATTCCCCAAATTCTGGAAATGTGGTTACAGAAACCAAAGTTTGCATTCTGCTAAGAGAAACTGTCCAGCAGATTTCCAACTCTTGAATTTCAATTTATAAACATGTTTCAGGGACAACAAATTCACCTGCTGGACTGGAGATGCCACTCACAAATTTCACATAGAAATAGGCATACTTTATATTTTTGCACATGCACACACACACACACCTTACATTTTCACACTTGCAAGTTTTTTGGTGCTTTTTTTCCCCTGCTGAGAAGCCATTTCTTGTTACACTGGTTTTAATCTTACTGAGGCTTCAACGTTTTATTCAGTTGCCATCTCTTCTTCGAAGATGTCTGGTGGCCCACTGCCTAGCCCACAGGTGGTTCACATCATTTTACGCTTTGTATTATTTGTGTTCACAACTCATCCTGTCTCTATTAATTAGTAAAATGAGGCAAGGGCAGAAACCAGAGGTCAACCATTCTTCTCTTCCAACCATTATTGGCATGATACACTGGGACAAAGTCAATATTCAGTGAAGAATTTAAAAAGCAGGAGGCATATCTTCCAATAGTCACTGAAATATATATAAAACAAATTTGGAAAATACTTTGAAACATTTTTGTTATCATATGTAATATGTAAATAACTACTAAATATACAGACTGAAAATTTGTAAAAAGTGGTTAAAGGCATGTAATCATCTCCAAGAATATAGAACATTATTTATACTCCAGAAACGAACCACATCCCCCTGCCTTACAGTCAACTCCCAAAAGTAATCGCTATCCTGATATCTATCATCTTAAAATGCTTTCAGCTCTTTTTATGGATGGAATAGTATGGTCTGAACTCCTGTGTGTTTATCTTTTATTTTGTTTTGGTTTGGTTTTTTGCTCATTATTATGATTATAGATTTATCCATTTGATTGTTCCATAGCCTTTATTCATTCTTTTCATTGCTAAATGATATTCCATTATACGAATATGTAACAATTTATTAATGATAACGGACATTTGGACTATTTCTAGGGTTTGGAAATTATTAATAAACTTCTCTGAACATTTGTGTATGGCTTTTGGTGCAATGTGCATTCATTATGTTTCATATTTAGCAAGACCTCCTCCACACTAAATTCCATTGGATATTTATTTAAAACTGTAGTCATTCTGGTGGGTTTATTGCATTTCCCTGATAATAAATAATGACAAGAAACACATTTTCTTTCTTTTTTTTAAGAAACACATTTTCTTATACTTTCTGGCCATCTATGAAATGTCTATGTAAGTCCTTTGACATGTTTAAATTGTACTGTTGTATTTGTCTTATAAATTAGTGATGTTTTTAATCTAAAATTTTTTTGGTTCAATTTCTTTGTCAGATCTATGATTACAAATCTCCTCCATGCTGCAATTTGCATGATAGCTCTCTCAATGGTGTTTTGATAAGTAAAAATTATCAATTTTCATTAAATCTAATGCATCAATCTTTTACTTTATGGTTAGTGATTGTTCATGATTATGTTCTTGTTTAAGAAATCTTTGCCAAATTTAAGATCATGAAGGTTTTCCTTCATATTTTCCTTAGGAGCTTTGTTACTTCACTATTCAATATTGAGTCCCAGGTACATATGGGATAAATTTTGGTGCATGGTAGGAGAAAGGTGTCAAATTAATTTTTACAGAATATACAATTAATCTTGAGTCATTTATCTAAAAGGTCACTTTTTCCCCCACTGCACTGCCACAGTACTATAAATCAGCGACAGTTTATGGTGGGTGTAAAGCTGGGTATTCTATTATGTTCCATTTGTCTATATTTCTATCTTTGTGCCAAAATCATAGTTTTTAATTACCACTTTATTGTTGTTTTATTTTTAAATGTTAGTTCATGTCTTTCAACATTGTTTATTTTTTTGATTTTCTTTGATACTTGAGTCGTTTGGATTTCTATATATATTTTAGAATTTAGCTTGCCAATTTCCACAAAAAAATAGCCATATGTGATTTATAATTAGAGTTTTATTGATTCTATAAATCAGTTTAGGAAGAATTGACATCTTTAAAATATTAAATCTTCAAACATATAAATCTGGTATATACTTCCATCTATTTAGAACTTTAAAAAATGTTTCTCTATAATACAGTTCTTAGTGTAGAAGTATCAAATGACTTTTGCTAAGTTTATTCTGAGGCATTGATATTTTTGGTACTATCATAAATTAAATGTTTTCTAATGTTCAATTTTGATTTGTTCCTAATAATTTGAAGTAATAATTGAATTTTACATATCACTTCTCATCCAACAATGCTATTTTTGGTTATTACATGTGCTTTATCTATAGAATTATTTTACATGTTTAATATACACAATTGCATTGTGCATGAGTAATGACAGCTATTTTTTTTTAATTCTTATACCTTTCACCTATTCTTCTTGCTCTGCTGTATTTGAAGTGCTATAAAAATACTGAGTAGATGTTATATTACTGGGTATCCATTTCTCTTAGCAGACTTCAATGTGTATCTTTACTATTTGATAATCAAATAAAATTTAGAGGCTTCTTTGGGTAGCTATATTTTGTCAGATAATTAAGGAAATTTCTTTCTACGTTTATTTCATCATGGATTAATCATTGGTGAAGAATTTTGCTAAAGATTTTTTATGTATCTTTTGAGGTTTTCACATGGTTTTTATCTTTTATTCTGTTATATTTGATTTATTTTCAAATATTAAACCAACATTTCATTCTTGAAATAAACTCAGTGTGATTGTAATAAAGTATTATTTTTCTATATTTCTGGATTTAATTTTCTAATATATTCCTAATATATTCCTTAGTTTTTCTTGTGTGCATGCTTATGAGATATGTTGGCCTCTACTTGCTTTTCTCTTTTTTGCATGGTTCTTGTCGAGTTTTGTGTTAAGGTCATGCTGGACCCATAAAATAAGTTTGCAAGTGTTTCTTATTTTTCTGTTCTCTGCAAGAGTTTGTTTAAGATTGTTTTCTTTTCTTTAAATGTTTAGGAGAATTCACCAATGAAGACATTTGATCCTTTAAACTTACTTGTGGAAATGTTTTCAATTAAGAATTCAACAAATTTGTGCATATTTCCTATTTCTTCCTATGTTCACTTTGAGTTAATTGAGTTTTCATTTAAATTGTCAAATGTTTTACAGCGAAATTTTCTTAGTATCTTCTTCTTTTGTTCATGTGTGATATGTGTAGTGACATGTTCTCT